GCTTGAAATCTTTACTTAACACAGAATTATTCTTAGGTGTTTAAATCCAATTGAGAATTGATCCCTGTAGAAAACAAGAGGGGGAATAAGAGAGGAAGGAGATTTACAGTATGGCACACATTCCCATGGACTTATCCCTAAGGGTAAAGCTAAAAACTTTCCATGGGACTCCAAATCCCATTAAGCTGTGTAGTACTAATGCCATCTTACTAGTTAAAATAATCATTTAAGTGTGTAACTGATCATATAGCTAGGAATAAGTGTCAAAGGGATCACATAAATAAGACCACGTGTCTGCTAATAACAACAGATAGAATTAAAAGGGGAGAATGATCCAACATGGGAAGCAGGCCACACAGCAGACTCATAGAATGACAAATGCCCTAAACAGCACTCTGATCTCAGAATCAACCCTTAAGGCATTTGGATCTGGCTATAAAGCCCATGAGAGCATTTCAGGCATGGAAAGCCAAGACACTGTGGCAAAAAATGGCCTACATGAAAGATCTCTGTGAGTGAGATCCCAGCGGAAAGAACGGGCCATCAAAGAAGGAGGTACCTTTCTCTGAAGGGAGGAGAGAACTTCTACTTTGACTATGACCTTGTCTAAATAATGACGGACTTTGTAGACTCAAAAGGCTTCCATAGCCTTGGCAGCTCATGACAAGAGCCTCGGGTGATTACTGACATCATAATAAGAGTGTCAGTTGTTAATTGACAACAGGAGTCACTGTGCACTTGCTCCCCACGTAGGACCTCTGTCCTTAATGGGTTGTACTATGAGAATTAACGGTAAAACTTATCTCCAAACATTACTTTATACCTTGTGTGTCTGTGTGGGTGTAAACTGTTGAAATCTTTACTTAGTACAGAGTTGATCTTCTGTATATAAAGATAATTAAAAATGAATGTAATGAAGAATGGGATGGGAGAGGGAGTAGGAGGCAGGATGGGAGGGGAGTGGGAAAGCGAGTATGGGGGCAAGAGTTGCTATATTCCAAAAGCTGTACCTATGAAATTTATATTTATTAAATAAAAGCTCTCTGGGGCCGGTGCTGTGGTGCAGTGGGTTAATGCCCTGGCATGCAGCACCGGCATTCCATATGGGCGCTGGTTCGAGACCTGGCTGCTCCACTTCTGATCCAGCTCCCTGCTATGGCCTAGGAAAGCAGTGGAAGATGGTCTAAGTCCTTGGGCCCCTGCACCCATGTGGGAGACCTGGAAAAGGCTCCTGGCTCCTGGCTTCGGATCAGCGTGGCTCCAGCCATTGCGGCCAACTGGGGAGTGAACCATCAGATGGAAGACCTCTCTCTCTCTCTCTCTCTCTCTCTGCCTCCATCCTTCTCTCTCTGTGTAACAGTGTAACTCTTTCAAATAAATAAATAAATTTTTTTAAAAAAATAAAAAGAATTAAAAAGGAGAGAAGGATCCAACATGGGAAGCAGGCCACACAGCAGACTCATAGAATGGCAAATGCCCTAAACAGCACTCTGGCCTCAGAATCAGGCTTAAGGCATTTGGATCCAGCTAAAAAGCCCATGAGCGTTTCTCATGCATGGGAAACCAAGACACTATGGCAAAAAAGTGACCTAAATGAAAGATCTCTGTGAGTGAGATCTCAGCAGAAAGAAGGGGCCATCAAAGAAGGAAGTACCTTTCTCTGAAGGGAGGAGAGAACTTCCACTTCGGTTATGGCCTTGTCTAAATAAGGTCGGAGTTTGTGAACTCAAGAGGCTTCCATAGCCTTGGCAGCTCATGACAAGAGCCTCTGGTGATTACTGACGTCATAAGAAAGAATGTCAGGCCGGCGCTGTGGCTCACTTGGCTAATCCTCCACCTGCGGCGCTATCACCCTGAATTCTAGTCCTGGTTGGGGCTCCAGATTCTGTCCTGGTTGTTCCTCTTCCAGTCCAGCTTTCTGCTGTGGCCCAGGAAGGCAGTAGAGGAGTGCTTGGGCCCTGCACCTGCATGGGACACCAGGAGGAAGCACCTGGCTCCTGGCTTTGGATCAGCGCAGCGTGCCGGCTGTAGCAACCATTTGGGGGGGTGAACCAATGGAAAAGGAAGACCTTTCTCTCTGTCTCTCTCTCTCAGTCTAACTCTGCCTGTCCAAAAAAAAAAAGAGTGTCAATTGTTAACTCAACAATAGGAGTCACTGTGCACTTACTCCCCATGTAGGATCTCTGTCCTTAATGTGTTGTACTATGCAAATTAATGGTAAAACTAGTTTTCAAACCGTACTTTATACTTTGTGTGTCTGTGTGGTACAAACTGTTGAAATCTTCACTTAGTATAGAGTTGATCTTCTGTATATAAAATAATTAAAAATGAATCTTAATGAAGTATGGGATGGGAGAGGGAGTAGGAGGTGGGACAAGGGGGTGGGAGGGTGGGTATGGGGGGAAGAACTGCTATATTCCAAAAACTGTACCTATGAAATTTATATTTGTTAAACCTTTCTAAAAATTGAAGAAGAAAATGAATATCCCTTAAGAATGTTGATGAAGAAATTCTGCACAGAATACTAGTAAAGCAATTCTGACCACACACTAAGAAATGCACCCCATGACAAAATGGAGTTTATTCCAGGAATCTGGCAGTGGTTGAATGTAAGGAAAACACCAACAATATCACTGCAGTGAGAAGCCAGCTGCATGATCACCTCAGTAGATGGAGAACTATTTGACAAAACTTAATGCATTTTCATTATAAAGAACATTCAGAAGCAAAAAAAAAAAAAAAAAGAAGAAGAAGAAGAAGAAGAAGAAGAAGAAAAGAAAATGAAGAAAATGGAGAACTTGGAAGGGAGCTTCCTTAGTAAGAGGAAGGGCTTTATAAGAAGCTCAGTTACGGGGAACTCCCACAGCCATTGCCCGTCATGATGGAAATCCTGGCTTGGGTCAGCGCTGTGGTTAACGCGGGTTAATGCCCTGCCCTGAAGCGTCAGCATCCTATATGGGCACCAGTTCGATTCCCAGCTGCTCCACTTCTGATCCAGCTCTCTGCTATGGCCTGGGATAGCAGTAGTAGAAGATGGCCCAAGTCCTTGGGCCACTGCACCCACATGGGAGACCTGGAAGAAGCTCCAGGCTCCTGGCTTTGGATAGGCACAGCTCCGACCATTGCAGCCAATTGGGTAGTAAACCATCGGATGGAAGACATCTCTCTCTCTCTCTCCCCCGCCTCCCTCCTCCCTCCCTCCCTCCCTCCCTCTCCCCTCCCTGGGTAACTCTGACTTTCAAATAAATAAGTAAATCTTAAAAAGAAAGAAAGAAAAAAATCCTGGCCAGAGCAGTCAGACAAGAAAAAAAAAGTATCATGGTTGAACAGGATTTGACGCCCCAGGATGGAGCCCAGAGGGGACAGCAGAAGGTGCCCATCTCTGTCTCTGCCTCCTGGGTCACCGGGTGATTGTTGCTCCAGACATGCCTGCCACTGTCAGCCCCTGTAAGGTCCCAGCCAGTGGGGCCATATAGAATAGGAGTAAGTATCTGCAGATCATATGTCTGGTGATATCCAGCATTAAGTAAAGAACTCTCTTTTTTATTTATTTATTTTTTTAATTTATTTATTTAGTTGAGAGGTAGAGGTAGAGTTACACACAGAGAGAGGGAGATAGAGAGATAGGTCTTCCATCTGCCCAAGTGCTTGGATTCCTGCACGCATGTGGGAGACCCAGATGGAGCTCCTGGCTCCTGGCTTTAGCCTGGCCCAGCCCTGGCCGTGGTGGCCATCTGGGGAGTTAACCAGCAATGGAAGACCTCTCTCTCCCTCCCTCTCTGTAACTCTGCCTTTCAAATAAATAAATATTAAAAAAGAAGAAGAAGATGTACAAACGGCCAACAGCCACATGAAGAGGTGTTCAGCATCCTTGGTCATTAAGGAAACGCAAATCAAATCCACCTTAAGCTAGTGCTCCGTGTCCACCGTGACAACTGGAGCAGTGTTTATTTAAAAGGGGACGTAGCAGCCATTGGGACGGCTGTGGAGGAAAAAAACTGTGGTGCACTGCTGGCAGCATTGCAAAGTGCAGAAAGTCGGGCAGGTCCCTAAAACTTCAGCATAAGATGACCACATGACCCAGCAGTGCCCTCACATGTCCCCAAGAGCGGGGAGAGGATGCGTCTGCATGGGAGTGTCCATGAGCATCGACCATGACAGCCAGGTGTGCATCTGTGGGTGCTGCCCGCCTGAGAGAAGGCAGACAAGACCTCATTTCAGTGACAGGTCCGGAGTGAACAAACCTGCAGGCAGGAGGGTGGTGCTGCCGGGAGACGCTGCAGGCGGGGTGCAGGGGAGGTAGGGGACGTTCTGCCAGGTGATGAGCCAGTGGTGAAACCGGAGAGATGCTCGCACGGCACTGTGAGTGCCCCACCTGCTGCTGCACCGTGCGTTTTATAAAACATCCCTTGTGTGTTGTGTGAATTTCAGCCATGTATATATACATATGTATGTATTTGTACATGTATGCACACACCCAGCTGTTGGCCTGTGGAGCGCCAACTTCTAACTGCAAAGCTGGTGCTGTCACAGAGCTGAGGGACACAGAGCTGTCCCTCAGTGTTGAGGGACGATGGACCTGAGTGGCAGTGTGGACCCTGGGCAGGGGCCCACGTGACATGGGGCAGCAGCAGGAGAGAGCAGAGCCTTTGGAGGACAGATATGGGGTGCAGTTTGTGGAATCTAGACCCTGAGGTGGGGGAAAGTCCTGGAAATCCCAGTGCAGGGCCTGTGGGATAGCTGCTGGCCAGGTCAGAGTGACCTCTGCTCCCAGGTCAGGCCAGAGTGACCTCTGCTCTCCAGCCAGGTCAGAGTGACCTCTGCCCCTCAGGTCAGGACAGAGTGACTTCTGTTCCCCAGGTCAGGACAGAGTGACCTCTGCTCCCTGGCCAGGTCAGAGTGACCTCTGCCCCTGGTGGCATCGCAACAGACCATGGCTGGAGGAGGGGTGGGCAGGCTGGGTGCTGTCTACATCACCTTTTCTCCTTCCTGTCCTGCAGATGTTGAACCTCTTTGTGGCTGTGATCATGGACAATTTTGAGTACCTTACACGGGACTCTTCCATCTTAGGGCCTCACCACCTGGATGAGTTCATCCGGGTCTGGGCTGAATACGACCCGGCCGCGTGGTGAGTGAGCCCTGGTGGTCCTCAGGGGTGGTCCCTGCCTGCGGATCTCAGCACAGGGCCGGGCTGGCTTTGGAATCTCTTCAAGTGGCTTCTTCCACGAGACTTGGTCTGGGGCCCAGGTGTTTCTCCTGCTCCACGTGGGACGGTGCCATCACGTGGGCCCTTGTGCACCTCTCTGGGCTGGGGAGTCGTCGCCCGGTACCTGGGGGCCATGGAGGGCTTCTGGGGCTCCACTGGACAGGAGCTGGTTGTGCTCCCTTGAGGGCTGTGGAGGAAGCTGGGTTCCAGCACCCTGTGAGGTCAGAGGGCAGGGAGGGCAGGGAGACATGGGCTGTGGGATTGCTGAAGGCCGAGGGTCTCGCTCTTTTCCTTGAGGAAGGAGCCGGCAGGTGCCCACCCCAGTGCACGCACAGCACACGTTCCATGAGCGTGGTTTTCCTTATGTTGTTTTGTCTTGTTTTATTTATTAAGAAGCAGAGAGACAGTGAGTTGCAGACAGAATTTGCATTTGCTAGTGCATTCCTCCAATACCTGCGGAAGAAGCCTGAAGCTGGGCACTCCACCCAGGTCTCCCATGTGGGTGGCATAAACCCAGGACCTGACCCACCTCTGCTGGTCCCGGGTACACATTAGCAGGGAGCGGAAGTCAGGAGTGGAGCTGGCCTGAAACCCAGGCCCTGTGATGTGGGGCACAGGTGTCTCAGCCACAGGGCCAGACGCAGGTCCACGCCCTTGACACAGCAAGGAGGTTTGCTGTGCTGCAGTAGAAGTGGTTCACACCTAAACAGAGCAAGGGTCTTGTGAGGGAGAGTGTGGGGGTCAGAAGGTGAAGCTGCTTGAGACCACGTCCCATAGGAGGGTCCCGAAGCCCATGGCTGCTGTCCTCAGGAGGGAGGCAAGCAGAGCAGGGTCCCCGCTGTGTCCCTGTGCATCCCTCATCTGGTCATTCGCTCATTCACGCACGCACTTGCTCGTTGGTTCGTGTTCACCAAATCAGTCACCTGTTTACTTTCTTGTTCGAGCCTCAGTCACTGAGGGCTGCTCTTTGAAGGAAGAACGCAGGGTGTGCAGAGACCAGGCTGCTGCTGGGTAGGACACGGGCCTGTTCAGCACCCACAGCAGGTGCTCAGGGAACATGCTGGCGTAGAGCTCTGCCTTCAGCCTCTTGCTGCGGGTGTCCTGGAGATGACCAGACTCCTCCCGGGGAAGTCCCCACCACCCATACAGCTCCTCAGGTCCTCGTTTTCCCTGCAGTTGAAGCTCTGCTCGGAGAGCAGTACATAGGCCCAAAGGCTTGGAGACTCAGCTGGGCTTCCTCCCTGTCCCCATCACAGTGAGTCCTTGTCCAGGCCAGGCAAGCCCCGGAGCCCCTGCAGCACAGGTCACTCCTGCCCAGGGCACCAGGCCCACAGTGTCTAGAGTCTCTGTGTGTGTTTTCCACTTTAGTGAGCAAATTATGACTTTATGATTTTCACATGATGCACACTTGCATGAGCAAGTGCACATTTGTTCATGCTTTGTGGTGTATGTGGCTGTTTCCGTGGCTTTGGGAAGTCTTGTCATGTCTCATGTATGAACCTGTCATGTCTCATGTGTGTGTCCATCATGTCTTGTGTGTGTCATGTCTCATGTGTGTATGTCATGTCTCATGTATGAACACATTGCATCTCATGTACGTGTCTGTCATGCTTCATGTGTGCCTGTCACCTCTCATGCATGAACCTGTGTGCCCTGCAGTGTCCAGGACTTGTACAGCAATGTTCAGCTTGGGGACAGCCAGCCACACCAGGTCTGTGTTCGGAGAGGGCCAGTCAGAGTGGAGTGGAGGCAACCAAACCCGAGGCTTGGACCCTGTAGGGTCGTCCAGACTGTGATGCAAGGGTTTGCCTCTATTTCTAGGAGGCTGTGGTACAAAACCAGAGGGCCAAGGCAGGTGTGTGAAGTGAGACCACTCCTCCATATCTCGTGAACATGTGTCCGGGTCCTCCAAGGTTGGCCACAGCTCAGAGCAGAGCGGAGCATGCAGGAGATGGACTGGGCCAACCTGCACTGGGGTGCAGACTGCTTCCCAAACCTGAGTTAACAAAAGCGTGAAAGTCAGGGGTGGATACAGAAAGTGCATGTTGAGTAAATGCAGGATACAGGCCTCACCCAGATGTGGCACATACAAGATAATGCACCAGACCCACAGGTCCAGCAGTGGTACCGACATGACCTGTAAGCAGCGAGCACAGCTCTGCTCCCGTGAGCAGCATGGGCTGGAGGAGGCCAGAGCTGCAGAGGCATGCATCTGGACCCCATGTCCTGGGCACAGCTGGGGCAGCCTGGGCCTCTGAGTGCCTCCTGACGGATGCAGGGACATGGATGTGTTCATTTCCCGGGTGGACACTCAGAGAGCTCCTCGTTCTTGGGGAGAAACCTTGAAAGAACAAAAGCTCTGTGAAATTTCCTGAGTGGGGCGTGTGTGTGCACAAGCACAGATGTGTGCACCCGTGTAGTGTTTTATGAGTACATGTGCTATGTGTGCACACAGGCGTGTGCATGTGTCTTGTGCACCTGCACGTTTGTGTGTACATGTGTGGTTCATGTAACTTCATGTGTGCATGTGTGTGCTGTGTGTTTGCATTGCATGTCTGTGTGCACGTGCGTCTCTTGTGTGCTTTTGTGTGTGAGTACATGTGCATGCCCTGTTGAGGCCGGGGTTTCTGGTGTACCTGGTGGTGAAGTGTGGAGAGTCGAGAGCAGAAAGTCAGCCACACTTGTTGGAGCAATCTGTGTGCTGGTTTTGTATTCGTCCATCTGTCCGCTCAGCACTCCCTGAGTGTCTGCCATGTGCTGGGGACAGGGCCTTCGGCAGAGCAGCTGCCCACTCTCAGGCACTCAGCCATGCCAGGGTGTTTCTGAGGGAGGAGGGGCCACACCTGTTTGGTGAGCCAGAGGCCATGGCCCTACAGCTGACGGGGGCACTGGAGTCGGGGGCAGCCCAGGAGGCTGCATCAGGCTGGGGAGGGCAGCACCCTGCAGAGGACTGGCATGAAGGCTGGAGCAGGCTGAGGAGGGCCTTGGACATCCAGTTAAACAAGCGTCTTGGACTTGGCTTTGAGGATGGCAAGGATAGTGTTTGAATCAGAGAGTGACAGTGTTAGGCCCACACCCCCTCTGATGGCATCTGGCAGTTTGATGGATGGGGCAGTTGTGGGGGCTAAGAGGTCCCACGTGCACCCAGCCCCTTGTGGTTGGCCAGCTCGTTGGGGGAAGCTGAAGGGGCTTCCTTTTCCTTCCCTCTACCTGGAAGCAGATTCAGCATGACCTGTAGCCGGCTGCACTGTGGTGTTGGGGTGCGGGTGCGGTGCCGCAGTGGAGGAGAGAAAGGTGTCTGTGCTGACCTGGGGGCGTCAGCCCTGGAGCAGCAGCTCCTCAGCTGGACCTGCAGGCTCCTGGGAGGACACGGTGTGCTCAGGAAGCATACAGGGCATGCCTCTGAGGCTGCTGTGTTAGGAAGAAGACCTGTGTCAGCCAGAGCGGCCCGGGGCACACCCGTCTCAGGGTCTGCAGGAAGAGCTAGTAGCAAGCAAAGTGCGGTTGTGTGCAGGGTGGGGGCTCAGCATCGGGCAGCAGGTGCGGCCTCTGTGGAGCCCACAGGTGTTCTGCGTCTAGTGCCTCCTGCTCACATTAGGCTCCAGGAATTATCCTGGGATGGCCACGCCTCCTGGGGTGGTCTAAACCCCAGTGCCCCCAACTAGGGAGTTCCTGTCTGGCCATACCCCTCAGCTTCAACACTATAGCTCTGGGGCAGGCGGGCGGGATGGGTCCCACCATGCCTTTGTTGCCATAACCTGTGACGTTTCCTTTCCAGTTGCCGGATTCATTATAAGGATATGTACAGTTTGTTGCGTTGTATTGCGCCACCCGTTGGCTTAGGGAAGAACTGCCCTCGTAGGTTGGCCTACAAGGTTTGCAACTCCAGAGCCTCCATCCGACATGCTCCCTGTCCCCAGCGCAGACACAGCACACACCCCTGCCTGGTCTGGGAATGTCGACACCTCACCTCTCCTGCCCTGCCCCCGCCCCTGCCCCGCCCGCACCCCAGCCTCCTGGACGCTTTGGTTCCCTGTCTGACCCCCCTGACTCCTCCAGCTGGCTGGGGACAGGCAGCCTCGTGAGACAGCGCACAGAGAAGGCATTCTGGCTGGGCCACGTTGGCCAGGACCGGCCGGCGGGGTGGGGGCTGGGGGCCAGATCCTGCCTGTGCCAAGGCAGCGGCTGCCTCACCCAGTTTTCCTCTGAGCTCTCGCAGGTGGGCTGATGGTCTGACAGGCCAGAGGCCGAGGGCCACAGAGGAGGGGCCTGGGCACTGGTAAACCAGGAGCAGCTCACCCTCTGGCTTGGTTTCCCAGGCCTGGAAGAGGAGAGGGCAGTGGCAGAGTGGGCCACAGACTCCGATCTGCCCAGCTCAGCCGAGGAGCCCCCGGTCTGGAGTCATGGGAGGAGAGTGAGGTCCTGGGGCAGACCCACGTGCCGGGAAGAGGCTGCCCCCTGTCTCCTGGGCCATGTGAACCTGTCTGTCACAGGTAGCCGCCCAGGGTAGCAGCAGGCCCCAGGCCTCGTGGCCTCTCTGCTGCTGGAACACAAGGTCCTGGGCCCCCAGGCACCTTCCCGAGCCTGGAGGCTTTTGGGTTCTAGGACCCACACTGGAGGCCCGGCCCACGCCCCGCCCCAGCTCCTCCCTCCCTGCAGCAGCCCTGCCCTGGGCCAGCCTCGGGCGTCTCTGGGCTTGGAGTAGCACTTGCCCTGTGGTCAAGGTTGGCTGTAGAGCTTCAGGCTCCCTGTAGTTTTCTGGCTTCATTTAGATTTTTCTCCACCTTTTTAGCTTCTGCCCTCACTTGGAAGCAAATCTGGCCCCAAAGAAAGCTGGTGTTTCCCTGTGGCTCATGGCCACAGCCTGGCCTGCTTCGTGCCCTGTCTGCCGGCTCTGGCGGAACAGTGCACAGCTCTTCTCTGATTTGGCATCATCTGTGGCTTCTGAAAGAGTGAACTCAGAGATGAACAACCCAAAGCCGCCCCGATGCAGCCCTTCCTCACCCCTCCATGTTCATTAGCTCAGACGCCACCCCTGCCCGCTGCCCCGCGGGAGGCTGAGTGGGGGCCAGGAGGGGACCGAGCCCAGCAGAGACCCCCCTACCCTACCTGTGGACCTGGGCGCCGGGCCCAGCGCTTGGATTAACTGGACCTGTCTTCTTGTCTGCTTCCTCCCCTGCTCCCCGCTGCCCTCCTCCTGTGGAACTCCCTGCTGGCCTCGGGGACGGGTCTCCAGTGGGCGCATCAGTTACAGTGACATGTTTGAGATGCTGAAGCACATGTCCCCACCCCTGGGGCTGGGGAAGAAGTGCCCTGCTCGAGTCGCGTACAAGGTAGACCCCGCCCCGCGCCCCCACCCAAGGGGGCCGGCTCGCCTGTCTCCCCTAGGGCTGGCTCTACTGTCTGGCCCCTGTGCCACTGTCTGCACCCGGCTGCCTCGCTGGTTCCCTCTGCTCCTCCCTGCCCTGTCTCTGCCTCCCTCCCACACTCAGGGACTCAACCACCACCACACCTGCCCCGGCTCAGGAGCCTGGAGCTGGCCTTTGTTCCTTCCCTTTGCAGGAATGAGGAGTCAGCCGGAGCCAAGGGCCAGGAGCCGGGGCTCCTGGGTTGGTGGAGCCTGCAGGGCCTGTGGTGCCTCTGTCACTCCCCTTCCCCCAGGCTCAGCAGGTGCAGAAGTTCCTCCGGCCTGCCCTGCGGTGGCATTGAGGGGGTGAAAGGGAGAGGCACCTGCTGCCACCCCTAGGGTGTCAGAGGTCACTGGGAGCCCAGGAGTCACTGACTCTGAGTTGCAAGGAAGTGGACTGAGGAACATCCCTAGCCCCTCCTGGGTGGGGCAGGCACATCACAGGGCCCAGCCCCAAGCCCCTCCTACCTGTCTATGCCCCTCAGAGCTGTCCTGTGGGCCCTGTTCTTCAGCCAGCCAAGCTGGGCCTGTGCCTCCCCCTGTCGGAGAGCTTCCCACCAGAGCATCTCTGGGCGTCTCCAGCTCATGCTGTCCCCAAGCCCTGTCACCCGACTCAGCACAGCCTGTAGGACCTGAGTGGCTCCTCTCGTCCCCTGCCCTTCCCCTAACTCATGCATGTTCCTACGAAAGAGAGCTCTGTCCACACCTGCACCTGGAGCCCTCCTGGGCAGTCAGAGCCATGATGGGGTGGCCCTTGGAGCACCTTCCTGGCCACACTGGCTGACTCTCCAGAATAGTAGATGGCCGTGGGCCAATCCAGCAGCTGCCCAGAGCACTGTGGCCAAGAGCACCAGATTCTGGCTGTTTCAGGGGAGGGCAGCCCTGCCGGTGCCCTGGATGGAGCTCTCCTGTCATAGGAATGACCTGCTTGCGCTCAGTCCCCTCCCCGCCCCCCCCCCCCCAGGCTGTCGGTGCTGTCTGCAGGGCCACTGCACTCTGAGAAGCAGCTTTCTCCTGGTGTGCAACACACAGGGTGCACAAGGACTGGATGTGCCAGGTGGGGCTTTGCCAGCATTCAGGGGAGAGAATCTGGCTCTTGTCTCCATCCCTGGTGCCCCCTAGCCCCTGCCATCAGACTAAGGACCCTGGATTTAGAGCCAGTGTGCCAGAGACAGGGCTGTGAAAGGCCATGGCTTGGGGGAGGGTGGCAAAGCCCAGGGTGCAGCTCCCGGTTCCAGCTCCCTTCTGGTGGCACCAACATCTCGGATGCACCTGAGTACCGTTTCTTCCTCAAGCCCTCCTGAGTTTTCAGAACAGTAGGTGCCAGGCAGCTTGGGGCCGTGTCTAGGGGTCCATGGTGCAGACGAGACCTGGGGATCCAGGAGCAGGGTGCACGGCACTTCCCAGGCTCCTGCACAGAGCGCTGACCTGCACTCGGTAATGGCTGAGCCCCAGACTGGAAGGAGCTGGTCTCTGAGATTCTTCTCACTGGTGGTTTTCATTTGTGCATTTTTTACAGATTCTTATTTGCTTATTTATTCATTTATTTATTTGAAAGGCAAAGTTACAGAGAGATAGGGAGAGACAAGGAAGGAGGGAGGGAGAGAGATCTTCCATCCATTGGTTCACTCTCCAGATGGCCACAAAGACCAGGGCAGGGTAGCTGAAGCCAGGAGCTTCTTCCTGGTCTGCCACGTGGTGCAGGGCCCAAACACTTGGGACTTGTGCTGCTGCTTTCCCAGGTGCATAGCAGAGAGCTGGGTCCAAAGTTGAGCAGCTTGGACTGGAACCGGTGCCCACAAAGGGTTCTAGCACTGCGGACGGTGGCTTTCCCCACAGTGCCACAGGGCTGGCCCTGTAACTGAGATGGTCCCTGCCTTCAGCTGGCTTCAACCATCTCTTTCTGGCCCCTTGGCTGGGTGGTGAGAGGCAGGAGTCATGCTGGGCCTGAGCTAAAGCCAAGTGTTGCCCTTGAGGGGACTGGGACCCAGAGCAGCTCCTGCCTCTCATCCAGATGATCCATGCTGGGAGAGGAAGAGACTGGGGTGGGGAGGGCCTTAGAGACCAGGGTTTCCCCCACCCTATACACTGTCCCAGGGAGCCTGAGACAGGGTCGCACACCCATCTTTCAGCCACGGGCAGTGGGCAGGAGGTTCTATGGCTGAGAATATCCTGTCCCTTCTGAGAAATCAAGGCTACTGGCCTGACCCCTAACCATGGTCCTCACCAGGATCTCTGCTTTTCTCAGCTCAGGTGAGGGTGGGGTTGGGACAAGTGTGAATGCTGGCAAAGCTCCCATCCCCTACCTGCTCAGGCCAGGATCCTGCAGGGACCACCCCAGGAGGCCTAGCCCCACCTCCAGGGACCCCGTGCACTGTGCAGCCCTGGGGTGGGGAGCAGCCCCACAGGCCTAGCCCTGACCTGTCCTTGCCTGTTCCCAGCGCCTGGTCCGCATGAACATGCCCATCTCCAGTGAGGACATGACGGTGCACTTCACATCCACGCTGATGGCTCTCATTCGGACAGCGCTGGACATCAAGCTGGCACCAGGTGAGCAAGGCAGCCTGGGGGTGGGGGGCACCGGGCCCTTAGGAGCCAGCCCCAGGTTGGGGGAGAGGGAGCCACCCCCAGCTGTGTACGGGTAGGGGTGGGGGGAGAAGGGGCCAGCCCCAGCTGTGTACGGGTAGGGGTGGGGGGAGAAGGAGCCAGCCCCAGCTGTGTGGGGGTGGTGGGGGAGAGGGAGAAGGAGCCAGCTCCAGCTGTGTACGGGTAGGGGTGGGGGGAGAAGGAGCCAGCCCCAGCTGTGTGCAGATGGAGAGGAGAGGGAGAAGGAGCCAGCTCCAGCTGTGTGCAGATGGAGAGGAGAGGGAGAGGGAGCCAGCCCCAGCTGTGTGCAGATGGAGAGGAGAGGGAGAAGGAGCCAGCTCCAGCTGTGTACGGGTAGGGGTGGGGGGAGAAGGAGCCAGCCCCAGCTGTGTGTGGGTGGTGGGGGAGAGGGAGCCAGCCCCAGATGTGTGCAGATGGAGAGGAGAGGGAGAGGGAGACAGCCCCAGCTGTGTGTGGGTGGTGGGGGAGAGGGAGTCAGCCCCAGATGTGTGCAGATTGGGGGGAGGAGGGAGTCAACCCCAGCTGTGTGCAGATGGGGAGAGGGAGCCAGCCCCGGGGGAGGGGAGGAGGGAGGAGGGCAGGTGCTACCTTGGAGGGAGTTGACAGCTGCCCAGAGCACCTCCTGTACAGAGCGCAGGGTAAGAGGACAGCTGCCCAGTCCCTCCTTGGTCCCCCAGGAAGCCTCTGCACACTGGCACAGCCACAACTCACTTTCAGGCAGGGGAACTGAGGCATAGGGTTCTTCAGAGCCAATAGTGGGGGCTCTGGCCCAGCCTGGCCCAGCCTCACTGCAGCCAGAGCCATTCTGGTGCCTCAGCTTCCAGCCCCAGTGAGCCCTATGCCTTCAGGTCCAGTCCAGTTGATGCCACACAAGGGGAGGAAGACCCTGCCCTGCTCCTCCACTGAGGCCTTGCCCCTGGCCCTGGGAACTCTGCCCTGCTCCTACCATGGCACAGAGTCAGCTCCCTGCTCATCACTCACATGGTCTCTTGCTATGCTGGTTTTTCTCTCTACTGGCTTATATTCTATAAGATTTATTTATGTATTTGAAAGGCAGAGTTAGAGAGAGAGAGAGAGATCTTCGATCCACTGCCCCACCCTTCATATGACCGCAACAACCAGGGCTGTGCCTGGCTGAAGCCAGGAGCTTCTTCCTGGTCTCCCACGTGGGTGCAGGGACCCAAGGACTTGGGCCATCCTCCACTGCTTTCCCAGGCCATAGCAGAGAGCCGGATTGGAAGTGGAGCAGCCAGGACTGGAACTGGAGGCCATAAGGGGGTGCCGGCATTGCATGCTGTGGTTTAACCTGCTACGCCACAGCACCAGCCCCTTGTACTGGCTTATTTATATCGCTATTATCAAGACGTGTCACCCATTTTAAAGAAGTTCTCTCCCTCTCTGTCCATCTCACAGTTTTATTCCTTCATAAGCGAGTAGCTCCTTAAGAACCTGGTCTCTGCCGTTTGATTTCTGCCTCCCAGTCCCCAGAGCGTCACTGAAGCTTGTGTTGTTAATAGGCCACAGCCTGCACCCTGGGAGCCCATGCCACTGCTCAGTCCCCCGGGGCCATGCTGCAGCCTGCACCCTGGGAGCCCATGCCACTGCTCAGTCCCCCGGGGCCATGCCACAGCCTGCACCCTGGGAGCCCATGCCACTGCTCAGTCCCCCGGGGCCATGCTGCAGCCATTTTTCAGTCCCCACTCTCTTTCTGAGACCCTTGCACATCTGTGTCTCTCGTCCTCTCATCTCCCAAGCCCTGAACCTGCTTGTGGGGCATCGGGGTCTTCTCTTTGCGGTCCACACTCGCCCCATGGTCACCTGACCCGTTCCCTGGCCCTCAGTATCGTGGATCCATTCTGTGTCGGTCCAGACCCAGGTCTGCTGCCGGGCAGGGGACAGCTGTGCCCCACAGCCCTGCCGCCAGCACCAGTGGAGGCTCTGGTGCTCCAGCTCCTCAAGACTCCCTCTGAGGCCACCTCTGTCCCCTCATTTTTCTCACCCCGTGTTGCATCGGCATCTGATCTCTCACTGCAACCTCTCTAGTCTGCCTTCAGAATACATCCAGAGTGTGGTCACTTGAGTCCCTGCCCCCTGCCAGCTCCTGGCCCCGCCTATCAGCAGCTAGCATGCTCAGGTCAAAGGTCACACCAGTGAGGATGACAAAGACCCTGCTGACAAGAACAGCATCACAGAGGGTGTTAAGAACAACTTCACACGTTCAACCCACAAACCAAGCTCACTTGGGAGTGGATGGCCTAAGTGATATGGTGTTTGTGAGGTGAATTAAATTCAGTGAAAACCCACAGCACAGGTGATTTCCAGCTCTGATGGCTTCATTGGTGAAGTCTGTCACACATTGATGAAGAAGTGACGCAGTCCTGTGCACTCTGCCAGAACAGGTCCGGCTCACGGGCGAGGCTTTGTTCTGGTAACAACACACATGTAAGTATGACAGGAGAACACCAGGTGAACCTCCGTGAAAATGCATGTAAAGATGAACTTGGCAGTATTTAAAAGGATGACACAGGTAACCCAAATGGGTGCATCCCAGGAACGCAAGCCTGGGTTTACCAAATCAGAACAGAGTGATGACTTCAGTAGACACAGAAAAAGAATTTGACAGAATTCAATGTCCATTAATGATTTTTAAATTTCAGTTTAGGCCGGCGCCGTAGCTCACTTGGCTAATCCTCCACCTGTGGTGCCGGCACCCTGGGTTCTAGTCCCAGTTGGGGCACCGGGTACTAGTTCCGGTTGCTCCTCTTCCAGTCCAGCTCTTTTCTGTGGCCAGTAGGACAGTGGAAGATGGTCCAAGCTTGGGTCCGTGCACCCGCATGGGAGACTGCTCCCGGCTCCTGGCTTCGGATCGGCACAGCGCCAGCTGTAGCAGCCATTAGGGGAGTGAACCAATGGAAGAAAGATCTTTCTCTGTCTCTCTCTCACTGTCTATAACTCTCTCTCTCACTGTATAACTCTGCCTGGCAAAAGAAAAAAATGAATTTAAAGTAGGATTAAAGCAAGCTTCCTCGCTTATATTGTATTATTGTAGAGCCTCCAGCAGCTACCCACGCTCGTGCCAGTTAGGATGGAATTAACCCTTTCCTCCCTGGACCCAGACGTTCACTGTCAGCATCTTGTTCAACATCAGACTGAGGCAAGAGACTTAAGTGATGGGGCCGGTGCTGTGGTGCATTGGGCTAAGCCTCTGCCTGCAGCGTCAGGTTCCTATATGGGCACTACTTCGAGTCCCAGCTGCTCCACTTCCTATCCAGCTGCCTGCTGATGCACCTGGGAAGGCAGTGGAGGATGGCCAAGTGCTTGGGTGGGTGGAGCTCCTGGTTCCTGGCTTCAGCCTGGCATGATGGTTGTGCCCATTGGACAGAAGATCTCTTTATTTTTTTTATCTCTGTCACTCTTTCAAATAAATTTATTTTTAAAAAAATCATAAGAGAAATCCAAATTAAAATCACAGCAAGGGGCAGGTGTTTAGGCTGAGGTTGAGACACAGGTGGCCCTGACTCTGGCCTCAGTCCTAGCTTCTTGCTGATGGGCACCCTCAGAGACAGCAACTGCCTAGGCCTGGGCCTCTCACGCAGGAGACTGGATCAGGCTCCCATCCCCAGAGCAGCCCAGGCCCAGCTGTTGGTGGCATCTGTGGAGTGAACTAGTGAGTGGATCTCTCTGTCTCTGTCTCTGCCTGTCAAATTAGGCCACAGTGAGATGATGCTGCACAGCATTGTGACAGCTAGAGTAGCTCTTTAAATGCAGAGAAGGCAGGGCAGCCAGCATTCTTAGGGGTTCCTGGGGGGAGTGCAAACAGTACAGCCCGTGGGTGAAACAGCAGCTTGTGCAGTTGCTGACGTATGGCCTGGCCACACACAAACACTTGGTGCAGATGTTTACAGCTGTATTTGTAATTGCCCCAGACTGAACATTATGCTTCCTTCACCTGGTGATAAACCATCTGCAGTACGTCCACACAAGGAGATAGAAATCACCGGGGCCGGTGTGCTGGTGCAGCAGGTTAAGCTGCTGCCTGCAGTGCCGGCATCCGTATAGGCTGCTCCACTTCCCATCCAGCTTCCTGCTAATGGCCTGGGAGAGCAGCGGAGGATGGCCCAAGTGCTTGGGCCCCTGCTCCCAAGTGGGAGACCTGGAGGAGGCTCCTGGCTCCTGGCTTTGGCCTGGCCCAGCCCTGTCCATTGTGACCATTTGAAGAGTAAACTAGTAGATGGAAGATTCTCTCTCTGTGTGTGTCTGTCTCTCCATCTCTGTGTAACTCTGCCTTTCAAAAAATAAATCTTTATGATAAAAAATAGAAATCAGCCATGAGAAAGAAAAGGTGATGAGTGCAACAGTGTGGATGTAGCCCGCACAGCAGGCAGCGATGGAGCTCAGGAAAGCCAGCGAGGGTGTGGTGCCATCTGCAGGCCACCCTGGCACTGCAGGGCCTGGTAGTCAGGTGAGGGGTTGACCCACAAAGGGGCATGGAGGGACCAGGGCTTATGGGTCTGCAGTAGTACCCATTCACCAAAACTCACTGGAGAGCATCAAAGGGTAAATTTTATGCCTTAATAAACCTGATGCTAAAGAAAGTAAGTCCCGGGGCAAGTCTTCGGCAGCAGTTAAGACACTGGTGGAGACGCCCACAGCCCACATCCGAGTGCCAGGGTTTGAGTCCTGGCCCCACTCCCCATTCCACCTGCCTGATGCGCACCCTGGGAGGCAGCAAACGATGGCTCAAGTATTTGAGTCCCTGCCACTCCCACGGGAGACCTGGGTGGAGGTCTCAGCTCCTGGCTGCAGCCCAGCTCTTGCGGACAATTGGGGAATGAACCAGCAGACGGGGTCTCTGTCCCTCTGCCTCTCAAATGAGTAAATGAATAAATAATTCTTTAAAGTTAGATTATTTCATTCCAGTAGCTTCTTGCTGAGAGCCCTCGGGACTGCACACACTGCTGTCTCTGTCTCCAGGGTCTCCCCGCTGCGCCCTTCCTCATGAGACCCTGCCTGGTCCCCTGTCCAGAGCCGTAGCCCTCCTGATAACTCTCATCCCCTCCCCACTTTTTGTTTCCTCTCCTTGGTGCTTCCACTACTCAGCGTGCAGTCTGCAAGTACTGCAGAGGGCTGGACTGTTTCTGCCCCATTCTTTGAAACAGTAGCTGGCATGAGGAGAGTGCTCAATACCCGAGTGGATCGATGAGCGACTGGAAGACTGCCACACACAGTCTGGTCCCCACTGCCACCCCCATGCACACATCTGTGCACACGTACGTGTACATGTACACAGGCACCCACATGCACAACCACATGTGTGCACAGTGGACACTCAGTGGGCATGCATATGCACATATGTACACCGTGCACGTGTGTGTGCCTACACTGCACACGTGCAGGCACACAGTACACATGTGTGGGCATACATGCTCATGTACACAGTGCACACATGCAGCATGCTCATGTACACAGTGCACATGTGCAGGCAGTATGCTCATGTACACACACACACATGCGCAGCTACACATGCCAGTCGGAAACTTGGAATATCTGCTTTTCCAGGCAGGCTCCAGGCAGGGAGAGGACTTTGCAGCCTCCATGTCCACTCCAACCCTCCCCACCTGCCCCAGCTATGCCCAAGGGCAGAATGGCTTCTAACATTCTTCCCCTCCCTCTCCTGCCATCATCCTGGCCCAGCTGGGACCAAGCAGCACCAGTGCGACGCAGAGCTGAGGAAGGAGATTTCCTGTGTGTGGGCCAATCTGCCCCAGAAGACCCTGGACTTACTGGTACCACCCCATAAGCGTAAGTGGGAGGGCAGGAGGTACCTCTGCCCCATGTTCCCTGCCCTCCCGGAGGCTGCAGGGGGTGGAGGGGAGGGTGTGGGCTCTGCTCCCTGGCTGCGCCGGGGGCCCACATGCAGGGAGCTGTGCCACACAGTCCTGGGCTCTTTCCATCCCTAAGCAAAGTCCCTGACGCTGCTGGTGGGAGTTCTCCCATAAGCCCAGGGAAAAGGCAGCAGGGGCTCCTACAGTCAGGGCGCAGAATCTTGGGAGGGGACTGAGGACTGCTTCAGGGAAACTCAGATGAGCTCACCTGAGGCTGGCTCGGGTCTAGGGAAGCCTTGGGGGAGGGGAGGCTGTGTCCTCCCTGCGCTCCGCCCCAGTCCTCGGCTTCCTGGTCCCAATGTCTCCCCCTGGGTCTTCTCCTCAGCTGACGAGATGACGGTGGGCAAAGTCTATGCAGCTCTGATGATCTTCGACTTCTACAAACAGAACAAAACCAGCAGAGACCAGACTCAGCAAGCCCCCGGAGGCCTGTCCCAGGTACCAGGCTGCAGGACTCCCCAGAAGCCATGGATGCCTCCTAGACCCTGGCACCCTCCATGGCTTGAGGATGGTGGGAGACCCCACCGTTCCTGGAGAAGGTGCAGTGGGGAGGGAAGCAGCCACCTCTGTGGCCCCAGAGTCAGAGACCCCACAGCCCTCTGGGGTTGCCAGGTGCTGTTGGGCAGAGGCAGTGGGCAGAAGATGAGACAGCTGAGGACAGAGGCCCTGGGAAGTGTCACTGCTGGGCACTGTAACTGCTGGGCAGTGTCACCTCTGGGCACTGTCAATCCTAGGCTCTATCACCACTGGGTACCTTCACCCCAGGGCACTGTCACCCCTAGACAGTGTCATCTCTGGGCACTGTTACCCCTGGGCACTGTCACCCCTGGGCTCTATCACCCCTGGGCAGTGTCACCTCTGGGCTCTGTCACCCCTGGGCTCTGTCTCCCCTGGGCAGTGTCACTCCTGGGCAGTGTCACCTCTGGGCTCTGTCACCCCTGGGCTCTGTCTCCCCTGGGCAATGTCACCCCTGGGCAGTGTCACCCCTGGGCTCTGTCACCTCTGGGCACTGTCATCCCTGGGCACTGTCACCTCTGGGATCTATCACCCCTGGGTTCTGTCTCCCCTGGGCAGTGTCACTCCTGGGCAATGTCATCTCTGGCCTCTGTCACCCCTGGGCTCTGTCTCCCCTGGGCAGTGTCACCCCTGGGCTCTGTCACCTCTGGGCACTGTCATCCCTTGGCACTGTCACCTCTGGGCTCTGTCACCCCTGGGCTCTGTCTCCCTTGGGCAATGGCACCCCTGGGCAGTGTCACCCCTGGGCAGTGTCACCTCTGGGCACTGTCACCCCTAGGCGCTGCCACCTCTGGGCACTGTTACCCCTGGGTACTATCACTCCTGGGCTCTGTCTCCCCTGGGCAGTGTCAGCCCTGGGCTCTGTCATCTCTGGGCACTGTCATCCCTGGGCACTGTCACCTCTGGGCTCTGTCACCCCTGGGTTCTGTCTCCCCTGGGCAATGTCACTCCTGGGCAATGTCATCTCTGGCCTCTGTCACCCCTGGGCTCTGTCTCCCCTGGGCAGTGTCACCCCTGGGCAGTGTCACCTCTGGGCAGTGTCACCCCTGGGCACTGTCACCTCTGGGCACTGTCACTCCTGGGCTCTGTCTCCCCTGGGCAGTGTCACCTCTGGGCTCTGTCACCCTTGGGCTCTGTCTTCCCTGGGCAGTGTCACTCCTGGGCAATGTCACCTCTGGGCTCTGTCACCCCTGGGCTCTGTCTCCCCTGGGCAGTGTCACTCCTGGGCTCTGTCTCCCCTGGGCACTGTCACCTCTGGGCACTGTCACCCCTGGGCACTGTCACCTCTGGGCACTGTCACCCCTGGGCACTGTCACTCCTGGCCTCTATCACCCCTGGGCAGTGTCACCTCTGGGCTCTGTCACCCCTGGGTTCTGTCTCCCCTGGGCAGTGTCACTCCTGGGCAATGTCATCTCTGGCCTCTGTCACCCCTGGGCTCTGTCTCCCCTGGGCAGTGTCACCCCTGGGCACTGTCACCTCTGGGCACTGTCACCCCTGGGCACTGTCACCTCTGGGCGCTGTTACCCCTGGGCATTGTCACTCCTGGCCTCTATCACCCCTGGGCAGTGTCACCTCTGGGCTCTGTCACCCTTGGGCTCTGTCTCCCCTGGGCAGTGTCACCCCTGGGCAGTGTCACCTCTGGGCAGTGTCACCCCTGGGCACTGTTACCCCTGGGCACTGTCACTCCTGGGCAGTGTCACCTCCAGGCACTGTCACCTCTGGGCTCTGCCACCTCTGGGTGGTGTCACCTGCAGGCATCATCACCCCTGGGCACTGTCACTTTCCTCAGTGGTGACAGGTCTGAGGGTATTTGAGCGTCCTCTCTGGAGATGGCAGGGACCATAGACTCGCACTGGTGGGCCAGGGCAGCCGTGTATTCACCCCAGCTCCAACTGGGATGGCTTGGGGCCATCTTCCTGATGTCACCTTCAGCAGCCGCCACAGTGGGGCTGTGTGCGCTGGTGCCACACCACGCCCCGCTGCTCCGGCTGGGCAGACATCACTAATCAATCTCGGCAGTCTCCCTCAATCCGGAAATTCCACCCAGCTTGGTACTGCAGTGGCTGCACGTTGGTGACAAGTTCGGATCTTTGCCATCTGCTAATTGTGCGGCTGGGAAACTGAGGCTGTGAGGTCACGTGGCCATCCCGAAGTCAGTGAGGTCAAGCGGCGAACGGGCGTCAGGGCTCCAGGGTGGGGCCTGGGTGCCCTGTGGTCAGAGCAGGCTGCTGTGGCCCTCAGAGCTCCCCCTCTGCCCTCTTGCAGCTGGGCCCCGTGTCCCTGTTCCACCCGCTGAAGGCCACGCTGGAGCAGACTCAGCCGGCGCTGCGTGGAGCCCGGGCTTTCCTGCGGCAGAAGAGTTCTGCCTCCCTGAGCAACGGCGGGGCCGTGTGAGTGCGGGCAGAAGGGCGTGGCCGGGCGGGGCGGAGGGGCGGAGAGCTGAGCTAGGGGCTGGAAGAAGCAGAAATCCCAGTTCCTCAGCCTCCCTGCCCACACTTCCTTGTGGCTTTGGGGACATCCCGAGGGGCTGCCTCCCAGACCGCAGCATGGGTGGCCGTCAACCCTATGCCCACCTCCACCTGTGCTGCCTCAGGTGGAGTTTCGCTTTCTCCGTTGCAGAAGTGGACTTCTAATTCCTGCAGCTGGCCAGTCTCACTTGCCCGCCCACAGCTCCAGGACTGCTGGCTGAGGCAGGCTTGTTCTCAGGGAAGGGCGTGTGATGCCTGGGGCCTTCACACGGCCTCCGTTCCCACTGTAGTCCGCACCGCTTTCTGTAAGGCCTGCCGGTGTCCTCTGCCCAGGTCCCCATTGTGATGTTGATTTCTGAAGCGAATGCGTGTTTTCCATGAGTCGGCCAGGCCCTTCTGGGTCAGTGACTTAAAGCAGAGATCATTTGTTTCCATTGTTGTTGGTGAGGGTGGGAGATGGGGCCTGGACCCAGCTCACTTGGGGGGCCCTGGGACCAGTGGCCCCCAGGGCTCGAGGCTCAATGGGCCTCTCTGTGTGTCAAACTTTTCTGGACCCCCGCACATGCCCCGTGGGGAGGCCCCCATCACCCAGTGCCGGCTGTAGAGCCAGGCCTGTGTTCGGGGTGGACATGGGCCTTGCAAGGGAGACCCTGAGTCTCAGCTGCCCTTGCACGTCTGGTTCCAGGCATGGGGGCCTAGAGCCAGCCTCATCCTCGAGCTGTCCCCTGTGCACCATGCATGCTGAGGGCAAAGGGCCTCAGGGGTGCTGGGTGCCAGGCTTGCAGGGGGAAACGGACGCCAGTGATTTCTCTGAGCCAAGTCCTCACGTGGATGAGCGGCAGCTCGTGTCACAAGTCTGCAGACCAGAGGGCTTGATGCTTGCCTCGGCCTTTGGGTCCAGCTTGGGTCCTCTGCCGTCTGCACCTTGGCCAGAGAGCTGCGCCTCCCAGACTGCGAGAGAGGTGTCTGCAGCCCTCAGAAGCCCCGTCATGGTGGGGACCGAGCATGGCCCATGGGAGCCACACGCACTCAGGGCAGCATGGGGTCGGCACCACTCGGCGAGTGTGACACAGGCATGACCAGTACTTCCCCTGTGAGGACCGCGGACATCAGCAGAGCCGAGCACAGAGGTCCTGTGTTCTAGCAAGACTCTCCTAGCTCCAAGTGGGACGACCAGGCCCATGGCTTTTGCTGGGGCGTGGCCAGTGGGAGTGAGTCTGACCCTGTGGAACAATCCTCTCTTCTCTTCCACAGACAAACCCAGGAGAGCGGCATCAAGGAATCGGTTTCTTGGGGCACTCAGAGGACCCAGGATGTGCTTTGCGAGGCCAGGGCACCCCTGGAGCGGGGCCACTCAGCTGAGATCCCAGTCGGGCAGCCTGGGACACTGGTGGGCACGCCAGATGGGGAGGGGTGTGTGAGACTGCCCTGGTGGCCATGTGGGACTGTAGCTTGAGAGTATGTGAGACTGTTGCCTGGAGGGTGTGAGACTGTTGCCTGGGTGGTGTGAGGCTGTTGCCTAGGTGGTGTGAGACTGTTGCCTGGAGGGTGTGAGGCTGTTGCCTGGGGGTTTGAGGCTGTTGCCTGGTGGTGTGAGGCTGTTGCCGGGGGAGTTAGACTGTTGCTTGGGGGGTGAGACTATTGCCTGGGGTGGTGAGGCTGTTGCGTGGTGGGGGTGTATAAGACTGTTGCGTGGTGGGGGTGTATAAGACTGTTGCCTGGGGGGGTATGAGGCTATTGCCTAGGGGTGTGAGGCTGTTACCTGGGGCTGTAAGACTGTTGCTTGGGGGGTGAGGCTGTGGCCTGGAGGTGTGAGGCTGTTGCCTGGGGGGGTGAGGCTGTTGCCGGGGGTTAGGCTATTGCTAGGGGGGGTACTATTGCCTGGGGGTGTGAGGCTGTTGCCTGGGGTGTGAGGCTGTTGCTGGGGGTTAGGCTGTTGCTTGGAGGGGTGAGACTATTGCCTGGGGCGGTGAGGCTGTTGTGTGTGGGGGGGTGTAAGACTGTTGCCTGGGGGGATATGGGACTGTTGCCTGGGGCTATGAGACTGTTGCTTGGGGGGTGAGGCTGTGGCCTGGAGGTGTGAGGCTGTTACCTGGGGGTGTGAGGCTGTTGCCTGAGGGTGTGTGATACAAGGATGGAGAAGTGTGACTAACCTAACCCTGACCCTGAACCCTAAATCCTAACTGGGCTTGCCTGATGAGACTGACAGGCAGCTGCTCTCCCTGCAGGCTGTAGATGTCCAGATGCAGAACATGACTCTGAGTGGCCCTGACGCCGAGCCGCAGCCAGGGCTGGAGAGCCAGGGCCGAGCCGCCTCCATGCCCCGCCTGGCCGCAGAAACACAGGTCTGGCGGGGTGGGGCGTGAGGGGAAGCTGCGTGGTGGGGTTGGGGGTGGAGCCTTGGTGTGTGGACTTGTGCACGTGGAGAGTGAGGGCCTTGGGAGGGGAGAAGCTGCCTCCCGGGAAGCCTGTCCTGGAGCCCCCACAGTTGACCAGCGCCTGGGGACGACACCTGCCCTTTGGGGCATCCCTAGGACATGGAGCTGGTCTCGCCAGGGGCTCCAAGCCAGCCAGGAACACCTGAGTCCCTGTGTGTGCCTCCACCCCTGCACCACCCTGCCCCCGCCCGTGGCTCTAAGGCGTCTCCCACCTCTGCAGCTGCTGTGGCCCATGAGGCCATGTCCGGTCCTCTGTCCATCCTTTCTCAAAGCTTTCTCCTCTCCCTGCCTATCTTCCACCCTCCTGCCCTCGCTGGCCCTGCGGTGCCCTCTGGGTGTGTGCAGGCCCAGCCAAGCTCTTGCTGCTCACACTCGGCAGTGGGTGAGCTCCCCTGGGGGAGCCTGGTCCTCATTTCAGCTTTGGGGCGCAACCAGGCAGGCACCTGTGAGCCCCCCAGGTTTCTGCAGCCAAGCCGACCCCGCCCCTTCCTAGGGAGAACAGAGGTTGGGGGCTTCCTTGCCTGGGGAAGGCACCGGGGGCGGGGCTCCCTGGGCTCCCTCTGAGGCTCTGTGCCTGCCTGCAGCCCGCGCCTGACGCCAGCCCCATGAAGCGCTCCATCTCCACGCTGGCCCCGCGCCCCCACACGGCCCGGCTCGGCAGCACCGCGCTGGACCGCCCAGCCCCCAGCCAGGCCCCGCACCATCACCACCACCGCTGCCACCGCCGCAGGGACAGGAAGCAGCGGTCCCTGGAGAAGGGTCCCAGCCTGTCTGCTGACACAGATGGGGGTGCGTCCAGTGGGGTCTGGGGAGCTGGCCCCGGGGTTGGGCCCTCTGTCAGCAGTCCAGGGTGTCCGTGGGGAGCCCCTTCCTTGCTGTCCCCCAGGGCCCTGTGACCAGCCGGACCCCAGGGGAGCGAGCCCCAGGCGTGGGCGCTGGGCCCTCGGGGGCTGTCCGGCTGCCCCGGTGGGGCCCAGGGCTGAGGTCTTCCTCCCTGCCTGGGGCTCCACTGTGCTGACTTCTCTTCTTCCTGTGCCAGCCCCCGACAGCACGGTGGGGCCAGGACTGCCCACGGGGGAGGGCCCCCCCGGCTGCAGGCGGGAGCGGGAGCGCAGGCAGGAGCGGGGCCGGTCCCAGGAGCGGAGGCAGCCCTCGTCCTCCTCCTCGGAGAAGCATCGCTTCTACTCCTGTGACCGCTTCGGGGGCCGCGAACCCCCACAGCCCAAGCCCTCCCTCAGTAGTCACCCCACGTCGCCGACGGCCGGGCAGGAGCCGGGACCCCACCCGCAGGTAGGAAGGGGCTCTGCTCTAGGGCCTCCCCCGGCCAGCCCCCCTCTGCCCGCTTGCGCTCCGGTGCCCTGAGCCCACGCCGGGCCCAGCCTGCTGCGTCCTCCGAGCTCCTCCTCGGGTGGTCCCCATAGCTGTTCACGCGTGCGCCCAGGCCTCCCTCTTCTAGCTGCTTCTCGCAGTGTGCGGGCGTGGCCTGGGATCTGCTCCCCTCTCCTGGGGTCCCTCCTCCTCTCCGGCTGCTCCCCGCCCCCCACGCCCCTGCTGGGGCCTCGCCTCCCCCCTCCCCTCCCCTTCCCGTGTGTCCCCTGGCCCAGCCCACGACTCCCCCTCTCCCGGGGCCGCCGTCCCCCCCCCCCATCCCGGTCCCTGTCCCCCTCCCCATCCCGGTCCCTCTCTCCCTCTCCCCCTCTCCATGCCCCGCCCCCACCACATGCACCTTGTCCCCTGCCAAGCCCCCTCTGTGTGTTGCTGGCCGGGTGTCTGGGAGGTTTGGTTTTTATCTTTGACTTGTTCTGTTCCGTCTTCATGCAGGGGAGTGGTTCGGTTCACGGGAGCCCCCTGCTGTCCACATCTGGTGCTAGCACCCCGGGCCGGGGGCGGAGGCAGCTCCCCAGACCCCCTTGACCCCCCGCCCCAGCGTCACCTACAAGACGGCCAACTCCTCGCCTGTCCACTTCGCCGGGGCACCGAGCGGCCTCCCCGCCTTCTCCCCCGGCCGGCTCAGCCGGGGCCTCTCAGAACACAACGCCCTGCTGCAGAGGGACCCGCTCAGCCGGCCCCTGGCGCCCGGCTCGCGCATCGGCTCCGACCCCTACCTGGGGCAGCGGCTGGACAGCGAGGCGCCCGCCCGTGCCCTGCCCGAGGACGCGCCCGCCTTTGAGGAGACCGCGGCCAGCAACTCGGGCCGCTCCTCCCGGACCTCGTACGTGTCCTCACTGACCTCGCAGCCCCCGCCGCTGCGCCGCGTGCCCAACGGCTACCACTGCACTCTGGGGCTGGGCGGGGGCGGCCGGGCGCGGCGCGGCTGCCACCACCCCGACCGCGACCGCCGGTGCTAGCCGCTGCGCGCCCGCCCCCGGCGGTGGGCTTCATCTTCCGCGCTGGGCTGCGGGGACGCGGGCACCGAGGCCCTGGACGGGGCCTGGGCGGAGGCCCCTGCTCCCCTCCCCCTCCTCCCTGACAGCAGACGGATCAATAAAGCCCCTTCCGGCGGGACGCGGCTGTCTCTGCCCCCTGACGTGCTGCCTTCCCAGGTCTCCCACCACAGGCTGATCCTGTGTCAGAGACCCCGGTGTCAGTGTGCAGGGGTGGGGGGTGCGGGGCCTGTGTCGGACCCCCAGGGTTAATGGGGGGAGCGTCAGTGTGTGGGAGCACCTGTGACCCGTGTTGGTGGGAGGAGTTGCACTGCCTGGAGGCATAGGGGAGCTTAGGGGTCTCGAGGGAGCCGGGGGAGGAGCTGAGGTTGCTCCTGGTCCCTGGTCGCGGGGCGGCAGGTGGACGCTGGACACACTCAGATCTCTCAGTCCCTCCCCGACCCCATCAGCCCCAACAGGGACCAAACCTGGAGGACGTGCCGGCTGCTGGTCTAAACAGAACAGGAAGAAAATGAGGAAACCGGAAAATCAGAGCCGTGTCTGCGGCTCGTGGGAGGAGCCCAGCGGCCCCTGGCTCCGCTGCTCTTGACCAAGTGCCTGACCCCCGGCCCTCGTGCCCCAGGCCCCGGCTCTGCGGTGCGCGGCGAGGCCTTGTGAGCCGCCCCGGTGGGTTCTGTGAAAACTTCAAGACAGCAGCCAGGAGGGACCAGGGTGGCCAGCGGGAGGTCCCCAGGGAAGCCGTGGGCTGTGCATGTGTGTGAGGGGTTCCTGTCTCTTCTCCATCTGGGTCTCCGGCCTGGGAAGCCAGCAAGCCGGGCAGGGCCTCTGCTGTATCTGCACCAAGAGAGAGATGAGGGGCTGGGGGCTCCGGCAAGGGGCTGTCGGGGCCAGGAGAGAGCGACCACATAGGAGGGCGGCTCCTGCCGCCCAGGTGGGGCTGCTGCAGGCCGGCCCTGCTCCTGGCACAGGGCGGGGACCGGGAGGAAGAGGCCGCATGAGGACCGGCGCTGTGACCCACAGGGCTATGCAACAAGACACACATTTCACAGACACAACACAGGACAGCCACCTGGTCTGGGGCCTTGGCATGAGTGTGACCAAACCTTTTTATAGAATTTCCTTACGCGAAGGCACAACACTCTGAGACTTTAACATAACAGAGTATTTTATTCCAGTTGAGCAGACTTAAACGGGAACCTCGGCCTGTGCACGTGATCCCCGTGCCCGTGTCAAAAGGCAGAAGGGTGTGTTTCCACGCTGGCGTCTCATCTCTGGTCCCCAGCCCCAGCCGGTGTTGTCTCCGGTGCTGGGGGCACCCACAGCCTGGCCCTGGCCTCACTGGGCTGGGATCGTCCTTTGCAGACTGGTGTTTCCCAGCAGGTGTCTGGATTCCTGGAGCTGCTGGGGGCGGTGGCAACTGCAGGCAGTGGGGAAGAGGAGGCGCCGCTGTGCTTTCCTGACTGGGGGTTTTGTGTCTGTACCGTCTCTTCTCGAGCTGTTCCGTGTCCCCCTGAAGTCTCCTGGTCAGCTGCCAAATCTGCAATGCATCATCAGTTGTCTGCATCTGGGTCCAGGCAAGCAGTGGCTCTAGTTTGAACCAGTTAGCGTGTGCATGTAAAATATATACATATATACATATACACCAGTATGTGCATGGAAATGTATATCTTCGTACTTTTTGATACAATGTACTCATTTGTTAATTTTTAATTATATTTGATATAAATCAAAGGTTTGTTGCGAAACTTTATATTTAACAACAGTGTTAAAAAAAAAGTCCCAACCATGCAACACAACTGGGACCGACTTAAAAAAAATCCTGTGACTGACTCGTTTGCTGCCTGAGTGATATTTATCATCCAATCTTTGGATTCTGCTGTTGTTTCTACAATGACAATTTTGTATGAAGCAAAGTCCTTGGATTAAAATAAAAACTTAGCAAAAAATCAAGACCAGGACCCACCGTGCTGCAGGGGATGTGTGGACTGTGCATGTGGGTGGCTTGGAAGAAAGCAGACACGCTCGCGGCTCAGGCGTGGACACTCCTGGGGGTGGGGTGGGGCCGGGTTAGAGCTACCGGGCAAATGGGCCAGCTTGGAGTCGGGAAGGCAGTGGGTGAGATTTCGTAAAACTTGAGTTCCAGGCAGGCCTAGAGATGCTCAAGTAAGAGAGGCAGGCTTAGGGTTGTATTTTGGATTGGGATTCAGGATTAGGGCCAAAGTATGAGATTATACAGCACTGATGGATGGTTAGGGTGGGAGTTAAGAGTTAGGCTTTGGTTTGGGTTTAGGAAAGCAGAGTTGAGAAATAAAATGGAGGGGGCTGGTACTGTGGTATAGCGGGTTAAAGCCACAGCCTGCAGTGGCCAGAATCCTACATGGGCACCTGTTCAAGTCCTGGCTGCTCCATTTCTGATCCAGCTCTCTGCTAATGCCCATGGGAAAGCAGTGGAGGGTGGTCCAAGTCCTTGGGCCCCTGCACCCAGGTGGGAGACCCGGCAGAGGCTTCTGGATCCTGGCTGGGATCCTGGCCTAGCCCCTTTCATTGCAGCCATTTGGGGAGTGAGCCAGCGGATGAACGATCTCCCTCTCTCTCTCTCCCTCCCTCTCTTTCTCTCTCTCTCTCCCTCCCTCCCTCTCCCCCCTCCTTCTCTCTGTAACTCTGCCTTTCAAATAAATAAATAAATATTAAAAAAATAAAATGGAGAATTATTGGGGTTTGAGTGTGGTTCTGGTTATGATTCAAATTTAGATGTGGGTTCAGGTTTGCATTCAGTTGGAATTTTGTGTGGCTAGGGTTAGGTGTAGGGCAAGGATTGGGGGTTGTCAAAGTCAGGATGAGAGAAAGTTCAGCTTAGGGTCAGTGTGGACGGGGGTCAAGATGAGGGTGGTGAGTCTGCCAGTTAGGGGTTCAGGGGACAGGGCGAGGGGTCAGCACGGGGCCATGGATCTGTGGTCAGTGTAAGGGAGCAGTGAGTTCAAAACAGGGTCCGGTCAAGGCCAAGGACAGTGGCTGGGGTCAGGATCAGTTTTGAGTCCTGTCAAGGTCAGACCAGGTCCAGGGCAGGGTGAACAGTGAGTCAGAGTTGGGTGTTGATGTCAGACGTCTGGCTACAGGTCCTGGTTGGGGTTAGGGTGTGGATCTGGGTTGGGGTTGGGGTCTGCTGAGGAGCCAAGGCAGCCCCTGCCCTCCCTCGGGTGAGTTCTTCCCATGAGCACAGTGTCTCCCTGTCCGTCCCCACACCCGCAGCTCATGGCTGAGGCAGTCTGGGACCACTGCTTCCAGTGAACCCAGCAGAGACGAGCAATGGCGGAGTCGTGGCTGGAGGTGTTTGCGAAGCTGATGGTGCAGTGCAGGTGGGCAGTGATGGTTGAGCTTCCTGGTTGGTTCACTCAGCTGTGTCAAAGTGAGCACAGCGGTGTGAGCCTTCAGTGCCCAGCTGACGTGTGCACCGAGGGACGCTCCGTCCTGCAGGCACTTGGCTTGTGTCCATGTCTCTGTGGATAAGCAGCGTCTCTGCCCTGGGCCGTTTGCTTGTTTCCTCAGGTTAGATTCCTGGAAGCTGACTTTCTGGGCAAGTTGTAGTCGCCCAAGCTGTAGGCTTTGGATCCTGGGCTTAGGGCAACTGGCCCGGGGCTGACCTGCCCGTGTGCCCTTTTCAGAGGGGGAGCCCCATGTGAGCTGCCCCAGAGACATCAGCCCTGGCCCTGCTGCCAGGGGCTCTGATATGGACACACATAGGCCTTCCTTCCTGTGGGACCATGGGAGAGAGTCCGCGCCACAGCAGACAGGTGTGCGAGTAGGCACCACAGCAGACAGACCTGAGAGGGGTTGTGGGAGGGGAGCAGCTTGGCTGGGATGGGAGAGGGACATGGTGAGGGAGTGGTGTAGAATGAGAGCAGAGCTCACTGCTCAGCTGGGCCCAGGGAGATTGTGGCTGGCACCAGCACCAATCTGAGAGCTTCCTGCAGGATGTGTCAAGTAGGGAGACTGGGCCCCCACGACCCGCCAGCCCTGCTCCCCACACTCAGAGGGAGGCAGCACTGATTGCTGTGCTGTGGGCACCTTGCCTCAGCCCTCCCAGGAAACAGAGACCTGTGCATGTGCCTCATTCCTGCCTCACCCTAGCAGGACTGGGGCACCCAGCACAGAGGTGCTGTGTGGAAGCTGGTCCCGGGTGGGGGTGAGACCTTGGCACAGGGGAGCTGGTCCCAGGCAGGGGTGAGACCCTGATGAAGGCAGCCAGAACATCTCTGGGGCATTTTGTCCTCTCCCACCCTTGGCAGGGCACAGGCCCAGTGCTGGAAGCTGCAGAACCCTGGCCCTGGCCACTGATTTTTGCCCATTCTCAGGAGAATGGAGTAAAGTCTGGAGCTGGCTCGTGGCTGGTACTGGACCTCGGAGATGGGCTCGGGGCTGTGGTCAGAGATCCTGTCTGGACCCATTCTGAGCAGTTCCTGTGGGGAGGGGCCTCTGCCCTCAGCACCCTGCCCAGCAAGCCCCTACTCCTCCCCCATCTGACTTTGCCGTGGCTCCTCTGAGGAGAGGGGTGTGGGCCCCACAGCCTATTTTGCCCTCGCCCCCAGATAGGGCCAGGCTGGGACTTGTGGGTACAGGTGAGACACCCTGGCCAGGTGGAGTGTCCACTCCCTGTGCCTTCCTGAGACACCTTTCCTGATGAGAAAAGGAACATCAGTGCCGGCATCCCACATGGGCACCGGTTCGAGTCCCGGCTGCTCCACTTCCGATCCAGCGCTGTGCTATGGCCTGAAAAAGCAGCAGCAGATGGCCCAAGACCCGGAAGAAGTTCCTGGCTCCTGACTCCTGGCTCCTGGCTTTGGATCAGCCCCGCTCCGGCCATTGCGGCCTTTTGGGGAGTGAACCAGCAGATGGAAGATATCTCTCTCTCTCTCTCTCTCTCTCTCTCTCTCTCTCTCTCTCTGGCTATAACTCTGCCTCTCAAATACATAAATAAAATAAAATAAAAGACTTGTATCCAAAATATAAAGAGAAACTGTAAAATTCAGCAATAAGAAAGCAACCAAATTACAAATAAGTACAGACCTAACGGTCACCTCCCCAGAGAAGGCAAGCATGTGTCAGGGGAGTGTGCAGAATCCTGCTCAGCACAGCTCCTCGCCAGGAAGAGGAAATCCACACGACATTGTCTTCAAATGGACAAGCTTGTGAAAAAGCAACAATTGCTGGGGAGGCTGCGGGACAGCTGGACCCCTGCTCACTGCTGGTGGGACGTGTAGAACTCGCCACCCTGGAAAACCGTCTGGCAGTTTCACCAGGTGATCCAGCACCCGTGACCCTAAGAGTTTAGACAGCAGGTTTGAAGAGAGATGACCAGATAACAGTGCACAGTTGTACTGTGTTGTACTCGCTGTGGCCAAATACCAGAAGCCATCAGTGGTTCCCGTGGTACCTGGCTGATGAGACTGCAGTGTATCCACTCAGGCGACTCTCTGTCCCCCTGCCACTCAAAAAAACACAAATTTTTAACAAACGTCACATACTGCCCATGCCTCTCT